GAACCTCAGCTAAATCCCCGGCCCTCCTTTCTGCTTTTTGTCCACCATGCCTTGAGCAGCTTCTCCTCTGCCACGGCTCTCTGCCATGTTGCCCCAGACTGGAGCTGGCTATGGACTGAAGCCCTACAAACTGTGAGCTGCAATAAACTTCTCTTCCTTTAAATTGTGGGTGTTGGGTATTTCATCCCAGCAGTGAGAAAGACAGCGCCCTTATCTTGCCCAGCCCTCTCTTTCTCCAGCAAGCATACCATTTGACTGGTTGCTGCCCCATCCCTCCCTACACCTGCCTCTGAGACATACCGAGGCCTTAACTCTCTGGCTGGCACAAAGGCTCAGGGGTCCCCCCCCAACTCCCTTACCACCTATTTCCTCCCTGCATGGCCAAGCAGTTAGGCTCACTTCCTATGGTGTGGCCAGAAGAGGAAGTTAAAGCAGGTGTTCCACTCCTTGCTGGGAGAGGAGACAATTTTTCTAGTGCGGGGTGGGGAGAGAGTGCGTTTAAGTGAAGAACCTTTCTTCTGAGAGAGATTACAAAGATGTCCTGGGAGGCTAAGATAGGACTTCCCCTCCAGGGCTCCTGAAGGAAGGCAGGAGTCAAGTAGAACTGCAGTGCCCAAGTAGCATTAGGTGTGTGTTTCACTCATTTCACCCTTTAGTCTGTGCTGTGTCAGGACTTGGTGCTTTCCCGTGCTATGGTCAGTGTTAACAGTGAGACATGAGTGGCATCGATCAGGTTCAAATCCACCACCATGTAGCTGTGTGGCCTTAGGTAAATGACTTAACATCTCCGAGTCTCAGTTGTTTCATTTATAACACGAAGACCAACTGAGTATGTTTCATAAGGTTGTTGAGAGATTAAATGAGATGATGTATGCTGGGGATGGTGCCCCATGCCCATAATCCTCTGGGAGGCTGAAGCAGAAGGTTGATAAATTCAAGCCCAGCCTGAGTAGCTTAGCAATTCAGCAAGACCCTGTGTCAAAATAAAAAAATGAAATAAGGTATAGAGATGTTGCTTAGGGTGAAGACCCTGGGTTCAGTCCTCAACACTGCTAAATAAATAAAGTATTTGAAGAGCTGGTCACCATGTCTGACACAAAAGAAAGACTCCTTAAAGGTTATCTATTATGACAAATCATTTAGATAAAGACTTGAGGATCTTTTTATTGCACCATTGGTCAAAACACCCTTTCTTCTATAATCCCCAAACTGGACATGTGTTCTACAATATGCCATGACCATACTTTCTCTACCCTCCAAACTATATGACAAAGATTTTTTTCATGCTATGAATTTAATTTTATGAAAAGTATAAAATGTACACATTTAGTCTCCAAATAACAACTTGATTATAAAAGGTAAAATAAGACCTGAGTAAATGGAGAGACACAAGTCTTCTTTCTCTCCAAATGCCAACAGGGTTATAAAAATATTGACAAGAGGGCCAGGGATTTAGCTCAGTGGTTCCACAGACTGCCTCACAAGTGCAAGCTTCTGAGTTCAATCCCTGGTACAAAAAAAAAAAAGAAAAAATTTGACAAGAAATTCTAAAGTTCATTTGAAAGAATAAATGAGTGCCTCTAGTTGTTTCGAAAAACGAAAGTCTTTTCTAAGTGTAATACTTAAACTACTAGGTATTAAAACTTGCATTCTATGATAAAACTACAAATGTAAACTATAATTTGGGGTGGATGTGGCTTCCCTACACTAACTCTAAAGACAAACACCGTAAAACACTGTCAGGTTTCAGCACATAAAATGAAAAATTTCACATTCCACCCCCCCAAAAAAAGTTGGGCTGGGGATTTAGCTCAGTGGTTCTACCACCTGCCTCGCAAGCACAAGGTCCTGAGTTCAATCCCCAGTACGAAAAAAAAAAAAGTTAAAAAACTCAATCTGAGGGAAAATGTTTACAATATACATAAGTAACTATATGTTTACTTTATGTATGCTCCCAAACAACAAAAAAACAGCTTCCCAACTTTTAAAAGGAACAACTGAAAGAGTGGGCAAAGGGACAAAAACAAATTCACAGAGACAACACAAACTGGCAATGACCAGGTGAAAAAAACCAAACAATCCAGTTAACTAGTAATCCAAGAGGAAAATCAAAACATTGAGAAATAACCAAACTTGAAAATACAGCCTTTGTTGTCAGAGCTATAGAAAAATGGCAATTTCTCAGGAAAAACGAATACATTTCCCTAATATATTCCCTAAAATTTAGAAAACATTCAAAAATATACCTTGTTTTTAACCCAACAGTTTTCTACTTCCTGAATTTTGAAATTGGGCATGTGCAATAAAAGATAATAGGTAATAGAAACACAAAATTTAGTTAGGTGTTGTGGTATATGCCTATAACCCCAGTACTCTGGGAGGCTGAGACAGGAGGATTTCAAGCTCTAGACTAGCCTGTGCAATTTTAGCAAGTCCTTGTCAATAAAAAAATATGATTTTTAAAGGTTATGGATATAGCTCAGTGCAGCTAGCTCAGCTAGGTTTATCTGCAGTACTGAAAAATTTTTATTTGCATATTTGTGCAGCCATTAAGAATCGTGTTATAAAATATCTAATGAAATGGAAGAAAATTCACAATATTGAGTTAAGTGAAAAAGGCAAAATGTGTTTTTACAAGGCATTCCTCCAATTATGCCACAGATGAAATGGATATGTCTAATAAAAACACCGGAGAACACAGCCAAAATATCAACTATAACTGACTAGGTAAAAGTAGGACAGTTTGATGTTCCCCTATTTCCTATTTATGCAACAGATAGTGTTGTGTTTTTTTTTAAACCGTACAATTCAAAAGTTGCCTTTGTCGAACTCACGAAAGGACATGAAATTGTCCTAGCCCGGAAACCCCAGCAAAGCCAAGGCCACCTGCTAACGTGAGTCGCGGAGACGCAGCCTCAGGCTCGCACCTGCCTGGACAGACGCCAACAGGTTGCGCGCGCGTCGTCAGGCGCGGTGACCCCGAGACGCAATCTGCCCCTCGCCCCGTGTCTGGCTCGCAGCCATGGGGAGCCCGGCAACTCCCGCCCTTGCTTAGTTTTTGGACTCGAGGACCTTGATTCCAAGTCCACACGGTCAAACCCTTTCAGACTCCACTTCAGAGCGCTAGAAGCTGCAGGCTTCAGGTGCGCCGTGGCCGTCCCTGCGCACTGCGCTGGGCCTGGGAAAAGCCTCGCTGAAGTCGCCGCGGCCTTGGATCCTCTAACAAACCTTTGCGGAGGCGCCGGACCAGGGGCCACAGACAGGCACGCGGTTGCACGCCGGAGCGCGTCCTCTGCAGGGACAAAGGGTCGAAAAACTTGAGCCCCTGCCAGTCGCAGAAACCCAGCGGGGGTCGCCATGGCGACAGAGCCAGGCCCCTCCCGGGTGCCCGCGAAGGGAGCCAGGCAGAGTCAGCAGCGCGGGTGACCCCGGTTGCCCCGCCCCCAGGCCGCGGCCGCCGAGCCGGCAACTGACCCTCTGCAGCTCCTGTAGTCACGTGGCGCTGGGAACCCGGCGGGGGG